GGGGGGGCCGCGGACCGGCGCCGCTCACGCCTGGTGATGTTTAATCGCTGGTTTTGACAACTTTGTGTTCCCGTCTTGCTTGCCAGGGGCTGGGAGGAGGATGCCAGTGTAGCTGCTGTCACGCCGAAAGTGGTGCGAGTCCTCAGGTCTCCCCTGACGTCCCTTCCTCAGACCGAGAACAGGTAGGGGCTGCCCGCCGGCGGTCACCCGTGGGGTGGGTCTGCGCGGAAGGGTCTACAGAAGCAGAAATTTGCCTTCGCTCCAATTCATTCTTCCTCTTGTTTGGCAGCTTAGTCAGAGAGAGCGTTAGAGGCTTGTTAGACTGAGAAAGTGAAAATTCACTTTAACTGTAATAAATTATTTGCTCATAGGCCCTCTTAACGACAGCAGTCACTCTGCCATTGGTTTTGAGTCCAGTAAAATGTTGCATGTAGCAGTTTTGTTAACATACGATGCAAAAAGTGTTGCTCGATGGCATGTTCCAGGTATCTTTTATTCTACTTTCCAGAAAGGTAGAGTTGAGCTGGGTAATGTTGTTACCATTTTTGTAATGTTTATTTAGTTAAAAACTACAGATTTCTCCTTTAAAATTCATAGGATGAAGGCAGGACATATGAACCCTTTGTCATGTTGTGTAGCATCATACTTCGTGGGAGCCCTTCCGCTTGATCCCATGTCTTGATCTTTTCAATCACTGCAGATCTTTGGTTTACAGCCTGTTATTCTATACTGTGAAGTTTAATATGAAAATAGTTGTTAAAATTAGCTGTGAAACAAGTGTCTTACGTGCAGGCTTCAATATTGTCTGTGTTTTCATGCTCTTGAGTCTTCACACGCTGCAGAAAAACTAATAGTGCAGAAGAGGGTGGTGTAATTCACGCAGGAGGTATTACTATCTAAGAAATAGTTTGCAGGCATTTCTGCTATTTTTTAAACTTTATTTGGCCTCATTACCATTTCAGTTCCAATGATTATTATATATTAATATATATTATGATCAAAAACACATTATAAAAATTAGAAAGAACTTGTGAATTGGGTCTTTAATGGGAACTGTGATCTCCTGGTTATATGGAAGTCAGTGGTGACAATATAGTTAACTTTACTGAGGCCACTATCTCACCCAGTTTAGCTCAGGTTGAAACAACATATGCTTTCCTGAAGTGAATGCAAGTGACATTAATCATAGTAACCGTTGCAGTGTACCCTAAAGTATGTTTCTTATGTGTTTCTGATGAGACGCCCTTGTGCCCCCTGACTCAAAATTTGGAACTTTCACAAGCCATAAATTTATTAACATCTTTCAAGATTAGAGTGAAAGAAAAGGAACAGGAACATTTGCAGAATTCTAACTGCTGTTACATGCTTCTAGCCTGCTTCTCTTTCCTGTGTTCATTTTTTCCCTTTCTTCCCTTTTTTCCTTCTTTTCTACTCCTTTCAATTTATTGGTTTTGCAGTACGTAATCTGTTCTGCTTTACTTTTTGTAGCTGTCATTCCATTCTCCTCTCCACTCTGTTTTCTGTTATGTCTGTGGTTTCCCCCTGCCCCATCTTCTCATACCCTTCCTTTTCCCTGCTAGTTTCTGAGCTGCAGTCTCCTTCCATTCCACTTCGTGTGCTAAACCATGGAATCAAATTGACTAGAAATGCTGGCAGAGAGCTTTTCAGAGAACAGAGTCTAGCTACTTCCCATCTGCTCTTAGAACAGTCGCAACTGGAGTGAAGTGGAAGCAGCATATACTGAAGAGGGCTGAAAATCCATGGCGTGTATGGGTCAGTTTTTAGTCTCTGTAATAAGGTGACAGGTGATCATGAGATTTTAAATACATGTTTTTCCTTAATCTAATTGGAGGATTTTGGCACAAATTTGGAACTGATTTTGAATAAACTGAAACTGTATTTCTTCATGACTACGTGACTCCAAAAGTGTGACAAGTAAATTATTCATCAAAAAAAGTTTCATTTCATTCTGGTTCCTATAACCATAGTGTCTTTGGAGAGATAGCTTGCTGGCTGAATCCAAGAGAGGATGTTCTTTCTCACCTGAGTGACTACGCTCAGTAAGCTGGCCTGATAGGAGTTTGTGGTGTATGTTTGGCATACGAGGAAGGAGAATGAGCTGTTACTTAATCCAGAGAGCAGCTGGACTGGGCAGGGAGCCATGCTGGAGTGGTTTGATCCAAGCAGCATCTGGACTGGGCCTGGCTGAAGGCCATGCCGGAGGGATTTGATCCAGAGAGCATCTGGACTCATTCAGGAGATGCAGACCAATCCCTCAGTGATGGATATGGATGGTCTGGTCAATAGGAATTAGATTCCAGTTTGCAGTGGGGTTTTGCTGCAGTATCCGTGAGTATAGCAGAAGGTCAAAAGTCCCTCGTTGAAATAGGTTGTACAGGAGTTAGTGAATTTTTTGAATCAGAAGAGGCTACATGAGTATATTGATGCATAAAACTAGGAACAATCTATTGGTGCAAACTTCCCAAAATATTGTTCTCCTGAAGTACCCTGACAGTTTGGATAGCATTGCTGTGTTGCTGACAGCAGTGTCCTTTCCTGTGTAAGAGTGAGAGGATGTGCATGGATGTTAGTTTAGATTCTGATCTCTTAATCAGTTTGACTCATTTTTCTGGAAAGCTGAGATTTTCTCACCAACTTTGGTGGGAGGATTCAGGAAAGGAAAATGAAAAAAAAAAAAACAAAAACGGGCATTATCCTTCTTGAACTCCAAGTATTAAAGTAATCTAGACAGTCTTCAGAATCGCAAGCTTATCTTTCTTCTTATCATGATTTCCTTTGCTGTTGGAGGCATATTTGTGACCAGACATCTCCTGAAGAATCTCTAAGGCCCTATTATCGTATTGCCTCGCAATATTGAAAGCTAATCTGTTCTTTTACTTTGAGTAATTCTTTTAAAAGAATGAAACTGAAGGATGAAAGCATGAAAAGCAGGGGATTGATTCAGACTATCATAGATACTTAAGCAGCTGTTATGCACAGCAGTGTTCAATTAGGTGGTGACCAGGCACCTAAAGTTCTCTGAAGATCTGTGTCTTAGCAAATAACCTTGAAGATGTGGTTTGTCTTTTACAGGTCATTTCTTACTACTTTTTTTTGTTAAGTGTTAGATAACCCAAACAATGTAACGGCCTCTACAGTGTGACTTCCAGTTTTTGTCTTGGGTTTATTTTGCAGCCTACCATGCCTGTTAGTAGGGTTTCAAAAAAAAAAAAAAAAAAAAAAAAAAAAAAGCCATTGTTAGGAATATTTCCATAGTAGTCCCCAAATTTATTCATGGAACTAGTATCATTTACACTGCATTACTATGGTTCTCTGGCAAATCCTCATACTGTGCCTCATACCATCCTCTCAGTTTTTTTAAGCTGCAACTGCAAGCACAGTTGAACCAACAGTACAAACGAAAGAAGTAGTCTTGCACTTGTCCCACCTTCAGATACTTGGTCCTCCCTCCCCAACTGTGTTTGTGCTAGCATATTTGTTTGTGTAGTCACAGCATTAGTAGCAAAACAGAGGGCTCAGTACTGCTAGTGCTTATTTAGGGGAAGGTGACAATAAGACAAGGAGCTAGGTAGTCTTTGTGGTGAGGCCTGGGGTGTGCTATGTTAAGCTTGGGCAGAAATTCTAGCTCCTTTTGTTCTGCTCAGGAATATATAGCAGGTAAATAATGTCAGCTCCTACAAGGGAAGTGGAAAATAGTTTTCTCAAGCACTATTTATATATACTTTATATACAGGTAGTAACAAGGCAGCACTAAACTGAAGAACAGACCACTACTACTGTGTTACTCTGTGTCACCCATTTTAAGGCACTCACTATCTTCCTAACTTACTCTCTGTCTTTGCAGGTACAAGACAAGCACAGTGTAGAGACTCTTAGGGTAATTGAACAGTGGGAGGAAGTGATTGAGGAGATGTGAGTAAACAAGTTAGTATTAATACAGTGTTCCATAGTGTTGGTTTCTCCAATTCCTCTCTCAGCAGTAGATCTTTATTCAGGTCTAGGGAATAAACAACTATACTTAATTAACCATGCTACAGAGACCTGTACATTCTGTATTCTGTCAAAATATTGCATTCTGGCAGACAGAAGGGGAAGAAGAGAGAGGCTATTACCACAATTATGAACAGTAGCTTAGTATTTTGCACAAATAATTTGCCACAGTTTAGATTAGTCAGCACTGGTGGCCACTTCACTAATTTTACTGCTCTCTTAATATTTTTTCCCTTCACTCCCAAGTGGTGCATGCAGACATATTTTAGAAGCGCATTTCTAACACATGCCTCATGTATTACTTCTGTCTAAATGAATAGGTGTTCAGTTGAAAGCTGCTGCCAGGGCACATTTACGTTCTAACAGTGGTGAAAGGTTTCCCAGCTCTTTCTCTTTATGTGGTCCAAGTGAAACCGCTATGTCATTCTGTCTATTTTCTTGTTCTCTTGTAACATCATTTTAGTGTAAGTTCTTTATCCTTTTCACTTTACTCACCATGAGACTCTGAATGCTGTTTGTCATGTTACCTGTCATACAGTTTATCGATTTTATAAGAAGTATCTGGTGTTATGTGTAACTCTAGTGAATGCACCAGAAGTCTTCTAAATAATTTTGAAACACAGTTTGTCTTAAAGACCTGATTTAGCATTCTTTAGATAAGCATGGGAACTTGAACAAGGAGAGTAGGATCAGTCTCTTTCACAGTTACTGTGATTAATGTTACGAGACAAATTCCTACTCATATGCTTGATAAAGTCATTTTTATGGTCCATTTCACCAAACATTTAAATTGTGTATTGCCTTATTAATCAAGGTGTTGTGAACCTTAAAAACATCACTATATTCTTATAATCCAGTTCATTTGAAATTGTGTCAAAGCTAGCAGAGCACCCTTCCTAGGGAAGTATGGATTATGGGTTTTTAATAGTATTTGACTAATAGACTATGAGATACAAATATAAATTAGTCTCTTAAAGGGAGAGATTAAGACAGAAGATATTCACAATCTGGATAGTGTTGTTCAGTGCCACTTTGGTAAAAGGATAGAAATGTGCAGTTTTGCATGCAAAAGCTGCCCTTTTTAGCTGGAGATGCTCAGCTGGCAGAGGGATCAGAGGTCCTGTGCTACTTCAGGCAGACAAGAGCAGGAAGCCATAGAAAAAGGGCAAGA